GGGACCTTTCCAAAGGGGCGGGAAATTTAAATAGATTGGTGGCGGGGGAATTTTTGGTGGCTGGAAATTTGGGGGTTGGGGGAATTCGCGAATGTGGAACCCGTGAATTTTTAGGGAAAACCTGTAGTAATAATAAAAATAATTTTTTTTTTCTTCAAAAGTGGGCCCTCCCACCAGGCGGGGGTTCCCCCCAAAAAAAAAAAAAAAAAAAAAAAAAAAAAAAAATCCCCAAAAAAAAAAAAAATTTTCATCATCATTCAACACTTTCACCACACCCAACACACTTTTTTTTGCGAGGTGTTAAATACAACAGTTTAGAAGCTATACGTAAAAGGCACAACATACCCCTCCAAACTCCCAAATTACCAAACCCCCTCCAAAAAAGTGCGGCATTGTACTTCCCATTTCCAGGACTCAAGTCCGACTACAGTGGACCCCCCATAGAAACTTTAATCTGTGCAAGAGGGCTGATTGTTTGCGAAATTTTCCCCGGGTATCGAATAAATTTTCCCCTTAAAAATGGAAATCAAATTAATCCGTGCAAAAAACCCCAAAAGTAGAAAAAAAAAAAAATTTTTACCACAAATAAAATTTTTTCCTACACACAAAAGAAGGATACATCACATAGTAGAGTAGTACATGCAAAATATATATTGTGCATGTACTACTTACAAAAATTGAAAAAAATGACACTTTTTTGAAGAGCACAATGACTGATGACCCCACTTTTTCCCCTGGGAGTCCCTTTTTCCCTCCTGATACGTAGGTCCTGTTTGGCTTTTTTTCTCCAAACACCCCATCACAGTGTAGCCCACAATTTTTAAAATCTCTAAACCAAACCTTTGCGGTTTTTAAATTTCCCAAATTGGCATATTTCCAGGCTTTTTTTCCCTGTTCACCTGGGGTTAGCGACTGGGTGGGTTTGCATCCTGGGAGACAAGATTAAGGGCCCCAATGGAAAAAAGTTTGACAGTCTTTGTGACACTGACTTTTTTTGGTTTCCTGGTGGCAAATCCCTGGGGTTAATTGTTTCTTGGGGATTCTCAAAAACCACACCAAAAACGGGGGGGGTAAGGGGGGTGCGGTTTGGGGCGGGGGGGTGCTACAGCAGCACAACATCAAGCAACCAACGTGCTACAAACACACAGACGATGCTACAGCAGCAGAGAGATGCTACAGCACAGCAACGATGCAAAAAGCAGCAGCAACATGCTACAGCAGCAAAACAGACCCAGCTACGCAGCAGCAGAAAAGATGCTACGCAGCAGCAACGATGCCACGCAAAGCAGACGAGCACCAGCAGCACAGACGATGCTACAGCGCAGCAGACGATGCTCAGCGGGGCAGCCAACATGGGTACAGCCAGCAACGATGCTACAGCAGCAGCAGAGATCTACAGCAAGCACAGAGGAACGATGCAAAAGCAGCAGAGACGATGCACAGCAGCAGCAGAACGGTCTACAGCAGCAGCAGCAGCACAGCAGCAAGCAAGGCTGGGTGGTACAAACGCACAGCAGCTGACAGTGCAGCAGCAGTACGGTGGTACAGCAGCAGCTGTACCACCAATATAGCAAAGGTTGATTGGGGTTTATTATAAACCTGGCCAGCTCAGAGACACGCACTCCCCTTTCAAAACTTATCAATGACTTTTCTTCATCTCTATAGTAAATTCCCCTTATTGCTGTAGGGTTGGCACAGAAAACTTTCTTGGGGGCCCCTGGGGCACTTATTTTTCCAAAAAAATCACCCAAAAACATGTAAAAATACGAAATTTTTGATTGTATGTTTAGTTACCGCGGGGGGGCTGGCTGGAAACAATGCCACCGGTGGAACATGTGAGCGTGGGTCAGGCCGACATTTGGGCGCGTCTGGGGAAGGGCGGTGAGCGGGTTTTTTGGGGGGTTGCGAGGCAAATTTTTGCAAAAAAGCGAGCCGTGTGCGGATTGTAGGTATGCGATGCTGCGGTATGCGGGGGCCACTGTATATAAAATAACCGGTTTCCCGAATCCCTTCACAAAAAATTACCCTTTCTCACACCCAACAGATCTCGGGCCCAAGTATCATTCGTCTCCATTCAACCCCCTCTAAACCCATGCCGCTTTTCTGGAAGTCCAAGCCCCTGCTCACAAAACCTCCTTTAACCCCCCCCTTTTCCCAACCCTTTTTGAGGACGACCCCCACCCCCCCTTCCTTTCCCTATAGATTTATATGCTTTCCATGCATTCTACTTTGATCCCTTCTCTCTAAATGACCAAACCACCCCAAAAACCCCCTCTTCTGCCCCGAAAAGCTTTTATTACTCCACACCTCCTAATTTCCACACTTCCCCAATTTTTTTTGCATAATATTTACACCCACATTGCCCCTTTAAAAGGGCATCTCCCTGCCTCCAACCGTCTTCCCCGCTGCTGCTTTTTCCACCCCAACTCACATCCTATAAGGTGTTGACTACTATACTTTTTACATTCCCTTCTTTGCCTCCATAGAAACGTTTTTGACCCCCACATATCCCAACGCACCCCTCCCTTTTTTCCCTCATCAATTCTGTGTTAACCTCATCCTTCATAAACCCCTCCGGGACACGTCAACTCCCAAAATCTGAAAATATTCACTTTTCCATACTCCCCTCCCCAAATTTTATATCCAATTTTTCTTTATTAATTTATTTTATACCCCCATCACCTTACTCTTTTCTTTTTTTTCCTTTCAACTTTTACCTTTTCACACATTCCAAACTCACCCCTAACCTTTTCATTTTTCTTTAGAATCTCCCCAAAAACTAGTATCATCACAAAAAGTAAATGGTTAATTCCCATTTTGAATTTGATTCCCCCAAAATTTTAAACCCCCCCCTCTCCCCAACACCCCAGCATTTTAATAATAATAAATAATAATAATTTTCTACATTACATGGTATACAGGGCCCACTGCATCAGTGCATATTACTTTTAGAAAGCCCCCTTTTTATGCTAAGTGCCCTGGGAATTTTTAAATTTTGCTAGCCGAAATTAGTGCCGAATAAAGATGGAATGGTTTGTTGCCGGGTTTGTGATGGTGGACCCTTAAATTAAATTTATATGTATTTGAAATTCATCCTGGGCTTTTGTACCCTATATCATTTTGCATTTAAATAATTTTTAGTGCTTGCTTTTAAATTCTTTACACCAGTGCTTTTAGATTGGAGGGTTTTTTTGTCATTCTTTTCAGTAGGTCCAAACTCTATACTTAGCAAAAAGTCTTTTTTCTTCTCACTGTTTTGAATTTATGAATGTCCCCAAATTTTCTCATACTGTAGGCACATGCCCATGATGAAACTCATATACGGGGGCCCGGGTTAAGAATCTCTGGGCCCTAGGGTATTCAGATTGGGGGGCCCCCTTTTAGTTTCGGGGAAGCGGAGCGGCCCCTTCCGCTTGGGGGGGGGGGGGGTCGGTGTAGCCGTTTAAAAATCTAAATTTAAAAAAAATTTTGGCTATTTAGATTAAAATTTTAAAAAAGAAAGTACATAAAAACCAAAACCATTTACCAACAGCCATTTTAACTATCTTGTTAAATCATGCATTTTAAAAAGAATAAACTCAAGACAGCAAAGTATTACAGATTTGGTATTAAAAAAGTGACATCATGTCCTATTTATTTAGCATAACCCCTACGCATATTATTCCCTTTTTAAAATCACTGACCCTTAATGTTATCATTGCATCATGCAAAGACTGTCAAAACATATAAACTACGAAAATTTGGGAGGAATCTCCCATACTCGCCTTTACGGGGAAAAAACAGTATTCGATGGAAAAAAAAGGCATGTTGAGTGTTGCCATCTATGGGTTTGGTTTTTTTTATTTTTTTTTTATTTCATTATTTATTTTTTTTTTGATTAATTTTTAAAAAACAATTTACTTCCAAAACATTTAAATTTTTTTGGTAGGGCCCGTTTGCCTTTCACCATGTGCGAGTCTTGATGAGCCCCTGAACCCCTTGGAACCCCGGGGGGCCCCCAAATGCGCGGGGGCCCCAGGGAAAAGCCTAGTTTGCCTAGCGGTAATCCGGCCCTGTACAAAAAAACTGCATTTTTTAGTGCTGAATTGATTTGCTTATTTTCTTGGCATATTAGCAAAATTTCCTCTTGGCACCAGGATACAGTGAGAAAATCCCCAGTATTTTTTTAATATACAAAAGGGCACAAAGCTTCGAAAGCATCTGTAAATATGGGTAACATTGGGGAAGGAGAGAAGATGTAACCTTACAAACACTCAACCCATAGGCTTGTCTTGGGTTAGAAGGAAAATTCTGTGCTGTTTAATATCTATATTTTGAACACACCTTGATGCTATGGAAACCAGTTAAGTGATTTTTAACACTTTACAGCATGTGGTATGAAGATTTTCCTGGGTCTAGTCGAAGGGGTAATAGTGTAAAGTATAATTATGACAACATTTATTGCCATATCTTGTGTGTATATTCTGGTGCATGGTAAGCTTATAATTATTTATAAGTGATAAAAATGCATGCTGAAGTGGGTTAGTCTGATGCTGCTGAGAATGTACAAAATTCTGTCATATTTTTTAAGGAATTTCAATTTTTGACAGTTTTACTTTTAGTCCGGTCTGACATTAACTACATTCTTTTACTTGATAATGTGCATCAATACTGTAGTGACATAACCTGCCACCAGACTGCTGCTCATCACTGTTTGCTGCAAACCAAACTCATCACATTTCCCTACATGCTAAATATGATATATATTGTTACATGAATGTATATTTGTGGGTCTGGTGTTAAATAACTTGAGCAATACACAATATACGTTGTGGTGTTTGTAATTACTTTGGGGACAGATATTTTTTCTTTGAAGCTTTGCTTTTCTTCCCTAAGACTTTATCACTTTTCAAGAACCATAGTGAAGTTTCTGATTATACCAGGAATCTGATTCAGAACTTAGGTGTTCTCCGTATATGAATTAATCAAATTGTAATGAAAGCATTTTCTTTCCTTACCAGCCTGCCAGTCCTGCTGAGGATCCACTTGTAAAGCACATGAAGAAAGAAGAGGTCAAAGCTAAAAAGAAACCAGAGACTGCTGACCCAGACAGTGGACTCAGCATTGCAGAGAAAGTTACAAAGAGTGTTACACCGTATGCTCATCTGCCATATGAAGAACAGGCAAGTGCCTTCACATTTTTGCCTTTATTTTATTGAACTTGTTTTGCAGAGCTTGAATCTGAAGCACAAGGGCTAATGGATAATGGAGTAAAGTTTGTATATCTGAGTGACCTATTATCTTCTGCTGTGTTGATAATAGATACTGTATATTTCTATCCATATGATGAAGTATTTTACTAAACAAGTATGCTCACAGGTGTGAGATTAAAAGATAAAGAATCTAACATAAAGTGGGAGTTGTCACAGTTGCTATTTGTAGATTTTGAAGAGTTGCAGAGGTTGGTAAACAAGTTTGGAAGGGTATGTAAAAGGAAGTTAAAAGTGAATATAGGAAAGAGCAAGGTGATGAACATAAAAAAAATTTAGGAAATGAAAGACTGGATATCATATTGGAGGGAGGGAGTATGGAGGAAGTGAATTTGTTGAGATATTTGGGAGTGAACTTGTCAGCAGATGGATCCATGAAAGATGAGGTAAACCATAGAATTGATGAGGGGAAAAAGACGAGTGGAGCATTGAGGAATCTGTGGAAGCAAAGAATGTTATCAATGGAAGTAAAGGGGAAATTTACAAGAGTATTGTGGCATCAGTGCTCTTTTCGTGGATTTGAAGCATGTGTGGTGAATGTTGCAACAAGAAACCTGAAGGCAATGGAGATGTCATATCTGTGGGCAATGTGCAGTGTGAATATCATGAAGAGATTCTGTAGCTTGAAGATTAGGAGGAGGTGCAGGATTACTAAAAGTATTCAGAGGGCTGAAGAGGGGTTGTTGAGGTAGTTTAGACATTCAAAGAGGTTGGAACAAAATATGACTTAAAGGGTGTATAAATATGTACTGGACAGAAAGTGGGGTAGGGGTTGTCCTAGGAAAGGTTGAAGTGTGTATGAGCAAGCTAAATAGGAGTAAATGGTTTATATGACTTGAAATGCTGTTGGAGTGCACGCAAAATAACATGAAGGGATTCAGGGAAAAAGGTTAGCCTGACTTAGAGTCCTGGAGATGGAAGTACAGTGCCTGCACTTTGAAGGAGGGGCAGAGATAGGTAGCAGTGTTTGAACTGTAGTATTGGCAGAGAGTTATGGTAAAAGCTTTTTTTTTTTTTTGGGTCACCCTTTGTTGGTCTGAAATGGCTGTGTTAAAAATCTCTGCTCAGTGCAATATCCTCTTTTTTTTTTCAATCTTATTTGCACAAGTAACCCCCCAAAAAGAAGAAACTTTTGCTTTCATTCACTCCATCACTGTCTTGCCTGAGGGGTGCCAATAATACAGTTCAAAACTGCAGGCCCTGTATTTCTCACCTTTAGGACTTAAGGTCAGCTAATTGGTTAGCCGGACTTGAGTCCTGGAGGAGGGAAGTACAATGCCTGCACTTTGAAGGAAGAAGTTTGGGGTATTGGCTGTTTGAAGGGACATCTAAATTGTCGTATCTGAGCGTGTCTGCAAAGATGGTGATTATGTATGAATGTTGGTGAAAGTGTTGAACGATGATGAAAGTTTTTTCTTTCTTTTTGGGTTTATTTTCTTTTTGGGTCACCCTGCCTTGGTGGGAAATGGCTGATATGTTTAAAAAAAAAAAATCAGATTTCCCTGAATATCATAATAAATGTTTCCTTGCTCACACTCCAATGGCATGTCAGGTCATACAAACCACTTTCCTCCTCTTACTCCTAAGTCTCTCACACACAAAAGCCTCCTTTACCCCCTCTCTCCAACCTTTCCTAGGATGACTCCTACCTCACCTTCCCTCCACTACAGATTTATACACCCTCAAAGTCATCCTATTTTGTTCATCTCTAAATGTCTGAACCACCTCAACAACCCCTTCTTCAGCCCTCTAGATAATACTTGTAATCTTGCTTCTCCTAACCTCCAAGCTATGAATGCTCTGCATAATATTCACACTACACACTGCCCCCAGACACATCTCCAACTGCCTCCACCCTCCTCCTTGCTGTAGCGTTCACAACCCATGCTTCACACCCATATAAGTGTGTTGGTATCACTGTACTCTCATACATTTTCCTTTTTGCTTCCATGGCTAATGTTGCTTATCTCCACAGACTCCTCAGTGCACCACTCATCTTTTTCTCCCTCTCATCAATTCTATGGTTCATGTCTTTCATAGACCCATCTGCTGATAAGTTCACTCCCAGATATCTGAATACATTCACTTCCATACTTCCTCCCTCCAGTCTGATGTCCAGTCTTTTGTTACCTAAATTTTTTATTACTCTCATCACCTTGCTCTTTACTATATTTTAGTTTTCTTTAGTATACCCTCCCAAATTCATATACCAACCTTCGCAAGTTCTTTTCATAATTTTCTAAAGCGCTGTGTCGTCGAGAAAAACCAACTGTGACACCTCCCATTTCATACCATATTAATTTGCTTACAATCCCACACCTCTTCCCAGTACCCTAGTGTTCATTGTTTTTACAACCCCATAGGTAAATGTGTTTAACAACTATGGTGACATCACTCATCCGTAAGCCTCACTATCCATTTAAAAACTGCTGTGTAAAGTAACCTACCACCTATTCTGTACATTTGTAATAACTTCCACTTTGCACCTTTGTCCACTATATCATATGCCTCTTCTAAATCTATAAATGGAATGAAAAATTCCTTACCCTTATCCAAGTATTGATAACTTACGTGAGGAGAGGCTGTAGTTGGTGGGCAGGGTTGACAGGTTGCCTGGTAGCTTAGTTAGGAGGCCTTGGGTACCCAGGCTGGAGGCTTAACCCCTTCACTCTCCAGAAAAAGAAAAAAGTCTGAAGTGATAAGAGAATCTTTTTCTGAAGGTAATGACACCAACAATAGGAAATTTGATAGAAAAGTTATGGTGTTACGCAAGCACAGAGTTGGTCTAGGTGCGATTTATGCATTGGCAATTTTGCCAATGCATAAATTGCTAGTATGAGTTTTATTCTATCAAATGAGCACAAGAAACCACCCAATCAACTATCAGAACTACTCTATAAAGTGCACAAAAGTCGGTAATTTGGTCAGTTTAAAAAAAAAAATAAAAACAAGAGTCCAGAATAAACACTGGTAATTTCAGGCACTAAAGCTACATTTCCTCTGTTCATTGTGTCCCCAGGCCTCTCCTATGTTACACTTTCCTTCCATTGTGAGTTCATCACAAAAAAAAAAAATGAAGATAAAATATAACCTTGAATGATTGGTCATGGTTTACTGCTTCCCAATAATTGAATTGTACTCGATAGAAACCCATAAAATAGACTGGGGGTGGAGGGGGTTTTATCTGTCCTTGGGAAAATCTTCAAAAATTAAATGTTTTCAGTACTTTGTGTTTGGTTCTGAAACCATTCAAAATAATCGCTATTTCAGTAACATGTCTTCCATTCTAGTACATCATCGATTTTCTGGACCTTTGATTCTAAAACTTTTCTGGATTACTGATTTTCCCACCTTTAGAGAGCGCAGTATTCCTTTGTCCTGGGGTTGAATAGGTGACGAACAGTGACATAAGTTCCTGCTCATAAATTTGTATGGTTCTGGACCATCAGTGTCCTGGAAAATCGATGCTGTACCTGTGTTAACTGATACCAAGAAACAGCCAAGAAAATCATAAAAACCACCCTAAAGAACTCAGTGTTGCTATTTTATATTGAACATGAGGTCAGAAGTTTGTTTTTCCCATCATGTACCATGGCTCTTGAATTTTTTTTTTATTCTGAACACACACTTTTTTTATACTGTGCACACCACACTGTATTTTTGTATGGTTTTTACAGTTTTATTCTTGGTTTCTTGGTCTCATTTGATAGAATGGAAGATATACTAAAGAAATAAAGGTGATTTTGATTGGTTTCAGGACTGAAATTAGCTTGAAATTGAGCTTAAAATAGCAGAAATGTTTGATTTTTGCTAATATTTAAGAGTAAACAAATCACTTCGCCCGTCTATTGCACGTCCAACTTGTGGGTCTAATATGCATTCACAAATGCACTGATATTATGTATACAGCAGACCCCCGACTTACGATATTAATTCGTTCCAGAAGGCTGTTCGGGTGTCGTTACCGAACGAATTTGTTCCCATAACGAATGTTGTAAATTAGATTAGTCCGTTTCAGACCCCCAAAAATATACAGTGGACCCCCGCATAGCGACCTTAATCCGTGCAAGAGGGCTGGTTGTTATGCGAAATGTTCGGTATGCGAATGAATTTTCCCCATAAGAAATAATGGAAATCAAATTAATCCGTGCAAGACACCCAAAAGTATGAAAAAAAAAATTTTTACCACATGAAATGTTAATTTTAATACACACAAACTGAAAAAGGCATGCACAATTACATGACACTTACTTTTATTGAAGATCTGGTGATGATTGATGGGATGGGAGGAGGGGAGAGAGTGTGTTAGTATTTAGAAGGGGAATCCCCTTCCATTAAGACTTGAGGTGTCAAGTCCTTTTCTGGGGTTACTTCCCTTCTTCTTTTAATGCCACTAGGACCAGCTTCAGAGTCACTGGACTTCTTTCGCACAACATATTTGTCCATAGTGGCCTGTACCTCTCGTTCCTTTATGACTTCCCTAAAGTGTTTCACAACATTGTCAGTGTACAGGTTGCCAACACGGCTTGCAATAGCTGTGTGAGGGTGATTTTCATCCATGAAGGTTTGCACTTCAAGCCACTTTGCACAGATTTCCTTAATCTTTGTAGTAGGCAACTTCTTCAATTTCTCTCTCCCCTCCTCTGAACCAGTTTCCTCAGGTCTGGCCTCTTGCTGTTGAAGTTGATCTATCAGCTCATCAGTGGTTAGTTCTTCATTGTCCTCCTCCACCAACTCTTCCACATCATCCCCACTAACCTCCAACCCTAAGGACTTTCCCAATGCCACAATGGATTCCTCAACTGGCATAATCCTCTCAGGGTTAGCCTCAAACCCTTCAAAATCCCTTTTGTCTACACATTCTGGCCACAGTTTCTTCCAAGCAGAGTTCAAGGTCTTCTTAGTCACTCCCTCCCAAGCCTTACCTATAAGGTTTACACAATTGAGGATATTAAAGTGATCTCTCCAAAAGTCTCTTAGAGTCAGTTGAGTTTCTGAGGTCACTACAAAGCACCTTTCAAACAGAGCTTTTGTGTACAGTTTTTTTTGAAGTTTGCAATAACCTGCTGGTCCATGGGCTGCAGGAGAGGAGTGGTATTAGGAGGCAAAAACTTCACCTTAATGAATTTCATGTCCCCATAAAGTCGCTCTGCCACGTCTGTAGGATGACCAGGGGCATTGTCTAACACCAGGAGGCACTTAAGTTCTAATTTCTTTTCAGTTAGGTAATCTTTCACATTGGGGGCAAATGCATGGTGTAACCAGTCATAGAAAAAGTCCCTAGTGACCCATGCCTTACTGTTTGCCCTCCACAGCACACACAAATTCTCCTTGAGGACATTCTTTTGCCTGAACGGTCTGGGAGTTTCAGAGTGATACACTAATAAAGGCTTCACTTTGCAATCACCAGTAGCATTGGAACACATCAACAAAGTAAGCCTGTCTTTCATAGGCTTATGTCCTGGGAGTGCCTTTTCCTCCTGAGTAATGTAGGTCCTGCTTGGCATTTTCTTCCAAAACAGGCCTGTTTCATCACAATTAAACACTTGTTCAGGTTTCAGTCCTTCACTTTCTATGTACTCCTTGAATTCCTGCACACTTGTTCAACCTTTGGACGAAGACCTACTTCGACTAGTGGATGGTACCACTATGACCCCGCCTCCACCTGCTTCACGTCACCTCACTACAGTATATAAGCCACATCTACGGCCCTATGCTGTACATTCTACAAGATTGATGGACTGAACACATCGACTCCAGGTTGAGGGACTGATTACCTCATTCTCCTCCTCTCCTTACGCCTTCCTCTTTGTATTGGACTGATGAAGCCACTGTGTGGCGAAATGTTTCCTGAATAAAGATTCCCATATGCTGCATAAGTGTCTCAATCTTCAACTTGTCGGTTTTTCAAACCATTCATCACAACTGTCAGACACTGCAGCATCATGGGATCTTGTTACAAAGAATTCTTCAACACTTGTTCAACCTTTGGACGAAGACCTACTTCGACTAGTGGATGGTACCACTATGACCCCGCCTCCACCTGCTTCACGTCACCTCACTACAGTATATAAGCCACGTCTACGGCCCTATGCTGTACATTCTACAAGATTGATGGACTGAACACATCGACTCCAGGTTGAGGGACTGATTACCTCATTCTCCTCCTCTCCTTACGCCTTCCTCTTTGTATTGGACTGATGAAGCCACTGTGTGGTGAAACGTTTCCTGAATAAAGATTCCCATATGCTGCATAAGTGTCTCAATCTTCAACATATTTTTCAGCTGCTTTGTGGTCCGAACTGGCAGCCTCACCATGCCTTATCACACTATGTATGCCACTACGCTTCTTAAATCTCTCAAACCAACCTTTGCTGGCCTTAAATTCACTCGCATCATCACTAGTTGCAGGCATTTTTTTAATTAAATCCTCGTGCAACTTCCTAGCCTTTTCGCTTATGATCGCTTGAGAGACGCTATCTCCTGCTAGCTGTTTTTCATTTATCCACATCAATAAGAGTCTCTCAACATCTTCCATCACTTGCGATCTCTGTTTCGAAAACACAGTTAAACCTTTGGCAAGAACAGCTTCCTTGATTGCCTTTCTGTTGCCCACAATAGTAGAGATGGTTGATTTGGGTTTCTTGTACAACCTGACCAGGTCGGCGACACGCACTCCACTTTCATACTTATCAATGATCTCTTTCTTCATCTCTATTGGAATTCTCACCCTTATTGCTGTAGGGTTGGAACTAGAAGCTTTCTTGGGGCCCATGGTCACTTATTTTCCAGATAAAGCACCAAAAACACTGTAATAATACAAAATATTCCGATTGTATGCTTGGATGTTACCGCGGAGGCTGGCTGGTAAACAATGCCACCGGCGGAACATATGAGGCTGGCTCAGGCCGCACATTGGACGCGTCTCGGACGAAGGGCGGTGAGCGGGTTTTTGGGCGGTATGCGAGGCAAAATTTTTGCCATCAAAGCAACCGGTATGCGGATTGTACGGTATGCGATGCGTACGGTATGCGGGGGTCCACTGTACTTACAAAACCACTCGCAAAAATACACTTTCATAATTGTTCGAGTTGGGAGCTGATCGTAAGTCGGGGGTCCACTGTATATTTATTACAATATTGCTTAACAGTAAATCTTGTGTGTGTGTGTGTGTGTGTGTGTGTGTGTGTGTGTGTGTGTGTGTGTGTGTGTGTGTGTGTGTGAATAAAAATTCAAAATGGAATTCATGTTTGAAGGCTGGGAACGTAACTAATGAACATAGGAAATGTTATTTTAGTGCCATGAATGCCTGCATTGTTTATTTTGGATCCTAGTTTGAAATTTGTGTGAAACTGGCCAAATTACCAACTTTTGATTATTGTGTAGTTGAAATAGATTGAGCAGTTTTTTATACTCAGTTGATAAAATGAAAGACATTCTAGTGAAATAGCTAAGAATTTGGTCAACTGAAACAATGTAATTGACCTAAAATAGGACTGAAGGTGGGCAAAATTGCCAATGTTTAAATATCGCTGATACAGCCAAACTCACGATAGTATAATTTTGTCAGTTTTCCATCAAGTTTCATACTTTTTGCTTTATTACTTCCAGAAAAAGATTATCTACCATTTCATAAGATTTTTCTTTTTAAATTATTGGACACAGCAATTCTCAGATCATTAGACAATGAAAGGGTTAAAAATATATATGAAATTAGATATGAGGTAGTTTTGGAAAATAGTAAGAGTTCCGAACACTCTCTAATGAGTGATTTTCAGGAAAACTTGAACATTTAAGTGGGGGCTCTACTGTATTAAAAACACTTGTTTCTTTGGGCAGAGGGCAAGAGCGTGCTTTTCATTAATCTAACATGAAATATTGTAACAGTAAAGAAAGAATTTAATGGAATACAGGAATGAATTAAAATTGAGGACTTAAGTTTTTCTGTTTTTAATTTTCTAAACTTTTACAGCTCAAGATGAAGCAGAAAGAAGCTCTACATGTCATGAGGAAATTTGGAACTGAATTAGCTCGTATCAACCCAGAACTTGTTGACTGGGTTCACTGGCAGAAGTTACGACGACAAGGGCAGGTGTGTGAAGTGGATGAAATTGTCCCTTCACCAGTTACACATGGTTATCGCAACAAGTGCGAGTTTACAATAGGTAAGGCACTTCTAACATCTGTAAATACTTTCCTAAATTGCTTGATAAATATAGCTTTTTTATTACTCTTATGTGAAAGTGAGAGAATATTTGATACATTTCTTTGTATATTTCTAAATAAAGTAATAAGGATGGCATCAAGCAGTCCGACTGGTCAAGAACTAATGCTTGAAGATAATTGTAACATGACACCTCTACCACATGAACATCTTTGAATATTTTCACTAAGCATTACATGATTTTTGTTTATCTCATTGCCTAACTTCCACAAAGAGAACTCGGATCAGGTGGTAGAGCTTGGGAAAGACGCAAGATCAGTAAATTAGGACTCTGTGGAGACAGAGAACTTTGTCCTTGGAGGCAAAGAGGGGAATGTATTAGAGTATAGTTTTACCAATGCTCTTACATGGTGTGAAGCATGGGTGATGAATGTTGCAGCGAGGAGAAGGCTGGAGGCAGTGGAGATGTCATGTCTGAGGGCAATGTGTGGTGTGAATGTAATGCAGAGAATTCGTAGTTTGGAAGTTAGGAGGAGGTGCGGGATTACCAAAAGTGTTGTCCAGAGGGCTGAGGAAGGGTTGTTGAGGTGGTTTGGACATATAGAGAGAATGGAGCGAAACAGAATGACTTCATGAGTGTATCAGTCTGTAGTGGAAGGAAGGCGGGGTAGGGGTCGGCCTAGGAAAGGTTGGAGAGAGGGGGTAAAGGAGGTTTTGTGTGCGAGGGGCTTGGACTTCCACCAGGCATGCGTGAGCGTGTTTGATAGGAGTGAATGGAGACAAATGGTTTTTAATACTTGACGTGCTGTTGGAGTGTGAGCAAAGTAACATTTATGAAGGGATTCAGGGAAACCGGCAGGCCGGAGTTGAGTCCTGGAGATGGGAAGTACAGTGTCTACACTCTGAAGGAGGGGTGTTAATGTTGTAGTTTAAAAACTGTAGTGTAAAGCACCCTTCTGGCAAGACATTGATGGAGTGAATGATGGTGAAAGTTTTTCTTTTTCGGGCCACCCTGCCTTGGTGGGAATCGGCCAGTGTGATAATAAATTAAAAAAAAATTAATGTAGGTAGTCAGAACATTTGCAGATACTATGTGAACAAATATGTGCCTATATGGCAGAGCTTGATGGAGTAATCACAACAGAAAAATGTGCCAACATGCTGAGAAAAGGAAAGTGTTGCTTTGACAAAGAGTGCAGATATTTCCACTCAGTGATGTGTAAAGCCTCAACACAGTCCAGAGAATGTTATGACCTGAGCTGCTGCCCAGACCACCATGTAAAAGGAACTAGGCACTGCAGAGAAAGCAGAGGAAGGGAAAATGAACAGCAGTCTTTTTTAGACTTAGAGAAATGTTTGGACCAAAGAAAGGGACAAAAAGGAGTAATGGTACAGAGAGGATGGATAGTGCAGCACAGTGGGACATGCCAAACCAGGCATCAGCTCATCAGGGCCGAATGAACAATCAATTGCGAAGTCAGTACTGGAGAAACCAGGGGTATGTACACCAAGGGCCATACCAGGTAGTACATCACCAGTGGTACTAACAAAACACAAAGAAAAACAAAACATCCCAAATGGTATTTCCAGCTTAATATTTGCAAATATTCAAAGTCTGAAATCAAATAAAAATGACGAAGCTAGTTATGTCAGTGGGCTCCTATCAGAAGCGAATGCCATATTTGGAGCATTTACAGAAACACATGTAAGGGATGTTTTGGATGGAGAGATAAAGATAGAAAACTATAACGTGTATAGATGTGATAGAATTAATAGGTCACAGGGAGGAGTAGGACTCTGTGTAAAGGATACTTTCTGTTGCACAGAAGTGCTGAACTCTACGAAGGATATAGTAGAAATTCTAGGCATTAAAGTTGAAAATAGGAATTTGGTAATTATCCTAGTATACAAACCACTATCAGCAACTGCTGAGGAATTCACAGATCAGTTAAGGAAGATAGATAGCTATTTGGATAGACTAGAAAATACCACACCAAATATTTTACTCCTTGGAGATTTTAATCCTCTCATATAAAATGGAAGACGGCGTAACATCACGTTATACCAGAAATATCTCTGGGAAGCACCCTGGCTCAACAGGCACATACAAGGGAGCTAATGAGGCTTTGTGAAAAGTACCCATTGAACCAACAGATAATTGATCCCACTAGGAATGAAAATACCCTGGATTTGATATTCACAAACAATGAGGAACTAATCAGAGACATAACAGTTACAAAAACAATATACTATGATCACAACATCATAGAAGTTCAAACTAGTATTAACCCAGGGTTAGGGAACTGCATCACTAATATTAGAGATGGGATGTTCAGTAAGTTTAATTTTAACAACCATAGAATTGACTGGGGAAAAATAAACCATGAGCTATCAGACATATCGTGGAAATCAGACATGAGCGTCCTAAATCTCCACCAGTGCCTAGAGAAGCTGAATACAGAAGCATACAAGGTATGTATGAAGCACGTACCATTGAGGAAACCCAGAAGATCGGATATAGAGAGAGCGTAGGAAATGGTACAGAAGAAGAAAACAGGTTACTGAATTGCTTAAAAACACAAATATGCTACAACAGATGAAAGATAGACTTAGCTGAGAGATCACTGAATTAGATCAAAAACTTAGAATGTCATACCTAATAGAAGAAGTACAAAGAGAACAAAGGGCCATATAGGATATTGCAAGAAACCCAAAATATTTTTATTCTTATGCAGAATCCAAGCTAAGAACTACCTGTGGAATTGGACTATTATTGAGAGGAGATTTATACTGACAAACAGGAAATGAGTGAAATCCCAAAAGAAAAGTAAGAGTCAGTGTTCAGTAACCCACTAAATGACAGCAAGGTAGAAAATGCAGAAATATTATTCACTCCAGCAGAATGCCGCACAGACCAACTGACTGACATTAGTACAAATCCCATAGAATTCTAAAAAGAAATAGACAAAATGCCCACTCACTCAGCACCTAGACCAGATTCATGGAATGCTCTATTTATAAAGAAGTGCAAAGTACCATTACCACGAGCCTTCAGTATTCTTTGGAGAAAGAGCTTAGATCTAGGTGAAATACCAGAGGCCTTAAAAAGTGCAGACATAGCTCCTTTGCACAAGAGAGGTTAGAGCTCTTAATAAAAATTTCAGACCATTAGCCCTAACTTCTCGCATCATAAAAATCTTCGAAAAAGTGATGAGACAGCAGATTACAAAGTTCATGGACCAGCACAATCACCATGACCTGAACCAGCATGGTTTTAGAGCAGGACGATCATGCCTGTGACAGCTGCTGAACTATTATGACAGAATTGCAGATGAATTGGAAGATGATTTACACAGATTTATACAGATTTTGCAAAGGCTTTGACAGATACGATCATGGAGTGATAGCGCGCAAAGTGAGGGCCAGGGGCATTACAGGGAAGGTAGGCAGATGGATATTTAGGTTCCTAACAAACAACACAAAAAGTAGTAGTGAACAGGACAAGATCCAGCATCAGTGAGGTCAAAAGCTCAGTGCCCCAAGGCACTGTCCTGGCACCTCTTCTGTTTCTCATCCTCATAGCAGTTATAGATAAAAACACCTGGCACACTTTTGTATCATCATTTGCAGATGACACTAAAATAAGCATGAGGACACTGAAAAACTGCAGGAAGACATAAACAGGGTTTTCCAGTGGGCAGTGGAGAACAACATGATGCTCAATGCTGATAAGTTCCAGCTGCTTAGGTATGGAAAGAATGAAGAACTCAAAAGGAACACTATATACAAAACTCAAGAAGGTCGCCAAATAGAACGAAAGGAATGGGTAAAGGACCTGGGAATAATTATGTCGGCTGACCTTTCTTTTAAAGATCATAACAAGACAAAGCTTATGACAGCCAGGAAGATGACAGATTGGATATTGAGAACTTTCAAAACAGGGAAAATAATGCTGATGGTGACACTCTTCAAATTGCTAGTGCTCCCTCACTTGGAATATTGCTCAGTGCTGATGGCCCTGCTCAAAGCAGGAGAAATATCAGACCTGGAACAAATACAGCTCACATTGAGCTAGTAAAACATATAAATTATTTGTAACACCTTCAGGCCTTGAACATGTACTCATTGGAGTGGAGGAGAGAGAGAGATACATAATATATACAGTGGTACCTTGACTTACGAGTTTCGTTCGTTCCGTGACCGAGCTCGTAACTCAATTTGCTTGTATATCAAATCAGTTTTCCTCACTGAAGTTAATTGAAATACTATTAATCCATTTCAGCCCCCCAAAAAGATCACCCCAGTTTTTTTGTTATGTGTTTTTAACCCTTCATCGCGCAAGGGGTCCGAAAATTTGAAATTCGAACTGAACTCCCTATGGTGGATAGAGTAACTCAATACAAGGTCACTGATCCCATATAAATTGATTTCTGATGGTTAGTTTTCGAGCAATTGCCAATCTCCGAAGACCGAAAATATTAGGCTGCTCCCGACAAAGGGATTAAAAAATTTTATGTTGCAAACTTGCAATTGTTAATAAAACACACCAAAACAATTTTTTAAATTTAATATACAAACAGACAATATAAAAAACATAAATGGAACTTGTATCAAAACATTTTTTAATTGTTACAAAAATATAAAAAGGAAGCAAATATCAACAATGCCAAATTGCAAAGTGATGCAAGTTTCAATCCCTATATTCCTGAGATTCATTTGGAAGGCCAATGATTCTATATTGCTAAATGGCAAGATGGAAGTCTGAGAAACAATTTCTATCAGTCTTTATGCACAGATTTACTTTGCATACACTACACACGAATGACGATGTTACCGTTTTCTTCGAGTTGCTGCAATACTTGCAAGTAAACGGCCTTTGCCCTGCCATTGGGAAGTGCATTAGACTAATGTCTTTCCTAACACTGTCATCAGGCATTTCTGTACGTTTTCCCCTCCAGGTTTCACTATGCCAACACCATTGGAAGTACATGGTGAATTAGT